CCCACCGTCATGAATCAAGTCATCCTCTTCTGTGTATGCCAATCTAACAGAAGATAAGTTGCATAGGATGTGAGCTTGGATTCTAAAAAGCCTTCAAAATAGTTGAAAGGAGATGGTTTCTTACTGTAAGGAGAACAATAAATAATTTCTGAATGCAATTTTAAAGGTCAGTGATAAAAAGCTACTTACCCATTGCAAAATATCACAGAAAGCAGTTTCAGTTCAGCATGAGAACATTCTCAGCAGAAGACAATTACAAACTTTTTAACTTGCTCTGAACTCTAGCACGTCACGTTGGTGTGTTACTAGAATGTTTCATTCTATTTTAAGAAGCTGATCCTCCACAGCTATTCTTTTCCTGTAGCATCCTATCTTTTTAAAGACGCTCTCCCGTCTAGTTGTTTTTTCAAACAGTCTCAAAGGCAGTCTGGCTCTGTGCCTTTGACCTTCCTGCTTTTGAAAGGAAGAGGAGAAAATAAAGACAGGGTAATGAAATCAAGAATTTGCCTTCTGATCAGCTTTCTTTAGGAGATAAGAAACTCAAGTCTAAAAATGAGGCTGCACAGGTACTTTCTCTGACACAGGCCAATAAGGGATGCAAAGCCAGAGTAACCATGATTCTTTTTTTACTTTCATCTCTGTCATCCTAGTGTGAAACAGAGAAGATGACATATCCAGCTACAGCTGTTTTTATTTATCACTGTACCCTCAGCTGCACTCTAAAAATTCCCGTGTGGCAACAAAAAGGTACTAAACTGCATGGATGGGCCAAGGTAAAGTGTGTAAGTTTCATTTGGGCCAAGTGTCAGATCCTGCATTTTGGTCACAACAACCCCAGGCAATCCTGCAGGCCTGGGGAGGAGTGGCTGGAAGGCTGCCTGATGGAAAGGGACCTTGGTGTGCTTATGGACAGTGGGCTGAATATGAGCCAGCAGTGTGCCCAGGTGGCCAAGAAGGCCAACGGCATCCTGGCTTGGATCAGGAATGGAGTGGTGAGCAGGACCAGGGAAGACATCCTGCTCTTGTAGTCAGCACTGGTGAGGCCTCACCTCGAGTGCTGTGTTCAGTTTTGGGCACCTGAGTACAGAAAGGACATGGAGGTGCTGCAGCAGGTCCAGAGAAGGGCAACAGGGCTGGTGAAGGGCTTGGAGAATATGGCCTGTGAGGAGAGTGGTAAATGGAGTCAAATCCAGCTGGCGGCCGGTCGTGAGTGGTGTTCCCCAGGGGTCGGTGCTGGGGCCTGTCCTCTTCAATATCTTTATTGATGACCTCGATGAGGGCATCGAGTGCACCCTCAGTATGTTTGCAGATGACACCAAATTGGCTGGAAGTGTGGATCTACCTGGGGGTAGCGAGGCCCTACAGAGGGATCTGGACAGGCTGGAGAGCTGGGCTGAAGCCAATGGGATGAGTTTCAACAAGGCCAAATGCCAGGTACTGCACTTCGGCCACAACAACCCCAGGTGACGCTACAGGCTTGGGGCGGTGTGGCTGGAGGACTGCATAGAGGAAATGGACCTGGGGGTATTGATTGATGCTCGGCTGAACATGAGCCGACAGTGTGCCCAGGTGGCCAAGAAGGCCAATGGCATCCTGGCTTGCATCAGAAACAGTGTTGCAAGCAGGAGCGGAGAGGTGATTGTTCCCTTGTATTCAGCACTGGTGAGGCCGCACCTCGAGTACTGTGTCCAGTTTTGGGCCCCTCACTGCAAGAAAGACATTGAGGCCCTGGAACGTGTTCAAAGGAGGGCAACAAAGCTGGTGAGGGGTCTGGAACACAGGCCATATGAGGAGAGGCTGAAGGAGCTGGGAACGTTCAGCCTGGAGAAGAGGAGGCTCAGGGGAGACCTCATTGCTCTCTATAACTTCCTGAAGGGAGGTTGTAGTGAGCTGGGGGTCGGCCTCTGCTCTCGTGTCATTAGTGATAGGACCAGGGGGAATGGCTTCAAGCTACGGCAGGGGAGATTCGGGCTGGACATTAGGAAGTATTACTTTTCAGAAAGGGTGGTCAGGCACTGGAACGGATGCCCAGGGAGGTGGTGGAGTCACCGAGCCTGGGGGTGTTCAAGGAAAGGCTGGATGTTGTGTTGAGGGACATGGTTTAGTGGGAGCTATTGGGAATAGGTGAACGGTTGGACTGGGTGATCTTTTAGGTCTTTTCCAACCTTGGTGATTCTATGTTTGATTCTATGTTTGAGAGACTGAAGGAACTGGGGCTGTTCAGTCTGGGGAAGAGGAGGCTGAGGGGACACTTTGTTACGCTCTTTTAATATCTGAAAGGTGATTGCAGAGAGAGCAGGATTGGTCTTTTCTCACTGGTAGCAAGAGGAGGAGAAATGGCCTCAAATTGTGCCAGGGGAAGTTTAAGTTGAATATCAGGAAACATTTCATTACAGAAAAGGCTGTTAAGGCCTGGAATAGGTTCCCCAGGGAGGTGGTTAAAAACCATTTGGATGTGGTGCTCAGGGACATGATTTAGCAGAGGGCTGTTAGAGTTAGGGAAGGATGGTTAGGTTGCAGTTGGATTCGATGGTCTTTAAGGTATTTTCCAACCTGAGCAGTTCTGTTATTCCTCTCTAATCTGCCCCAATGTGTATTATTTACTGGATGTGATTTTTTTTTTTTTTGGTATGAGTCCGTATTTACTTCTGTGTGATTATCTGTCTGGGAAGTAAGTGTGTAGGGTAAGGATTTTCCTCCTACTTTGCCTGTAAGGTGTTTGCATTACTATGCTTATGCTGTTTATTCACCTTTAGATGCTGCCAAGGAAACAGGAAAAAGATGTGTAGAGAAATACCTTCAGGCTATAATTAGATTTCAACTATACCAAATGTAAAAGGTGTAGCATAACTCAGCCAATATGGAAAATAGTTTAGAAAAACTTCAGCATGTAAAACCTGCACTACAAACCTGTCCAAATTCAGAAAAAGTGAAACCAGAGCATTAAAAATACTTCTCAGGTAATGAATTAATAAGGACAAAACCAGGTAGTGCTGAAGGCTTGTTGAAAATACATGTCTTTCTGCAAATGTTCAGCTTGCTTCAGTTGAAGAAGTGGTAATTGAGGGAGAAGATACCATTGTTCCTCATTTGGAGAGAATGAGACAGGGGGATAGCAATATTGTTATCTAAAGCCTTAAATGAGGCTTAGAGAGGGGTGGGACCAGGTTAAACCCTTTCTGTTGGCACAGGCCAGTTCTTTTCACCTGTGCTCCCAGGGCTGGCTGTGTCCCTTTACCGGGTGCTCAGTCATTGGTTCAGGCTGTAGCTTAGCAATTCCCATACAGAAATCAAGAAAAATTAAATCTTAATAGCCTCGAAACAAATGGAGAAAGGCAGTGGAGGGTAAAAGGAGACAATTTAAGAATTAACAAGTCAGAGTTATGGTAATGGCATGAATCTATTCAAGAGAAAAGGAAAAGTGAAACAGAAGTGTAGAAATTGCACTTACAGAGCTTCTGTAGCACAGAATGAAGGGCATAAGGAGAAAACGGAAGGCAGGATGGAAAACAGAACTTGAATGTTATCTGAGAATATACAGATATTCGTAAGGCTGAACATTTTGCACATTGAACTGCCCTGTACAGAGTTCACAGGTGGGCTTCCACCCTTGACTCTGCCTCCTTGTTAAACAAGGAGAGCTATCTCCAAGTGGCTGAATCAGGGGGTTATGAAGATAATGTGACCGTGTTATCTTTCAATTGCTGGATGATATTCGATTGGGCTGTTTTGTTCTTAATGGAGCAGTCTTCAGCTGGTTTTCATTTTCATTTTATTTTTAGTATTTTTTTTTTTTTTCCCTCACTAGTTTGTTAACCCTTGTTAGGCAACACAGTAATCATGGTAATTAAGTGACAACAGTGAGTATTAGAATCTTAGAATGGCTTGGGTTGGAAGGGACCCCAAGGATCATCAGTTTCCAACCCTGCTGCCACAGGTATGGCTGCCAACCTCCAGGTATGGTACTAGAGCAGGCTGCCCAGGGCCCCATCCAACCTGGTCTTGAACACATGTGTGGGCAGCCTGTTCTAGCACCTCACCACTCTCTCTGTAATGAACTTTCCTCTGACACCCAAGCTAAACCTGCTGTCCTTGTGCTTAAAACCATTCCCCTTTGTCCTGTCACTATTTACCTACCGGAGTAAAAAGTTCAATGTGTTTTAGTGTGCGGAGAGGACCTGTGCCCATTTCCAGTTTGGATGCTAGCAACTAGAAGTGCAGGGAAGAAGGCAGTAATTGTTCCATCTATTCTGTTTATTGAACAGTAAAGTGCCAGCATCTCTCTTTACCTCTGTTCCAGTCAGGGGGCTCGTGCTGCCTTATTTCTGCTTGGATTTCCCTTTGATCTGCTTTCTTAGTAAAAGCACTGGTGAAGGTCCTTGTTCACAAGAGCAGCCTATAGACTTTGTGGTCCGCTGACTTGCTTTGTTTGTTGCTATAACATACAGGTGGCTCCAAAACTACTGGGTTCTGGTTATTTTCGTGAATGCTACAGTAAAAGCATACAGTAACATTGTTTGATGGGTTCTCTGCTTTGAAACACTGTTTTTCACCATAGTCACCATGTTGCAAGTGAAAGCAGCTTGTGGTTCACTGTATTGATGTTTATTCCTTTGAATTAAGACTTGGAAAGGAGTAAAAGTGTTAACTGATTGAGAGTGTGCCTTCGTTTGTTAAAAGACGAGCACAATAGGAAAAAGGAAAAAATAAAGGTGAGCAGGTCACTGCTGTGGATCCTGTGATCCTGAGGGTTTGTTCTTCTGGGGTAGCTGAGGATGGGGTGGGAAGTGTGCTGCCAGCTGTGGGGGTGGCAGTATCTTTTGTGCCGCACAGTGGTCCCTGAATGGTCCCTGAATGGTCCCTGCTACTTGGGCCAGGAGCTGTTGCCAGCTGAGAGTGTCCGGTGTGGTGTGTTGTGTACGTGCCATACTTTGCGTTGTGGTAGTGGAGGGTTGTGATTACTGGGAAGAGGAAATCAAGAGCACCTTAAGCAATCTTACTAGCTCCCGACTTCTCCATTGCTTATGCACAATGACTGTTTGTTCTGAACCTTTCACCAGAGAGTTACAGTATTTTTGTTCTGAGGCCTTCACAGAGTTGCTGCTGTTTTATTTGGCTAGTCACTGGTTAGCTGCAAGTGTGTCTCTTAACCAATCAGAATGTGAATTCTTGCTCTCTATGTTATGGTTCTGTACAGTGTTGTCACAATGTATGAGATAGAAAAAAATGTGTCACTTCATTTGCACACAGCACCATAGCTAGGCATTTTTGCCAATGTTGGATAAGAGCCTGCATGCCATGCTCCTGAAAATCTGCATGGCTCTCTGGAATGCCATTTGACTTTCACATTGCTGTCACCACTGCTGAAACACAGCACCTCCTCACTGCTGTGTTCACATCTGCTGTTTGGTCCCCAGAGATGTTCAGCAAATGTTGATGAATGTTAATGGATGCATTGTTTTCTGCATGGAGGAATTCAGTTCCACACCTTTGCTTCGTGCACACTTCTGTGTCAGGTGCCATCCAGTCAGATTGCCTCTCTGCTGCCAGCTGTCCCAGGGCAATGAAGTTTAATGGCATATTGTGGGGGGAGGTTCGGTCTCTGCAGCTGTACCACCAATATTTGCTCCTGAAATCGTGGGCCAACTTAATGAAATTGGAAGCATTACTTTTGGAGCAACCCTCATATTTGGACCAAAAAACTTTCTGGGTACTTCAAGAAGCCTATAAGGATGCACAAGTAAACTCTGTGTTTGGCACGTGTGTAGCTGATGATGTTCAGCACAGTATCTTCAGTTAGAGATGCATGTATTTCTATCAGAGTGATGTATACAAATTCCTTAATGACTGAGCATGTCTTCTCTGCTTGATTATTTTCCTTCCATCTTTCCCTTGAATGCTTTGTTACGCATGGACACATCTATGTTCAGGCTAGTACTTATTCCCATTTTGGTAGCATCTTTAGAAAGGAGTAAGTTTCGAAAGAAGGGGGGTAGAACAGTTGGGATGATGGTTTTTTAATGGTTATCATCTGTGTATTTAAAAAGTAGCTAATGAGAAACTAAAAACATACCAGCATGAGACACTAAAAGAACAAAAACCAAAATTGATGTTGATAGCCTGAGCAGTAAAGACAGGAAAGGAGGAAAATGCATTGTGTTTTTTTCTTTTTCCTAATATCTATTAACACAGTGGGCCTTTAAATGATTGTCTTTGTAGAGGGAGTGGGCTGAGCATCTGTGAATCGCTTTCTACCAAGCACGGCAGGATTAAAATAATAGAGAATTTTGTAATGACAACATAGATACTATAGGGAGAACATCCTTAATTTAGAGTTCATTTTCATTGCACAGAAATGCAGGTTGTTACTGGGGAGGAAAAAGAGAATGCTACTAGCTAAATAGAAGGAATGAAGCGTGAAAAGTTTTGACATAGTGAGGCTGATCATTTCACATGGTAAACAGCATGTTTCTTTCCTATTTATATTGAATGAAGATAGCTGTCATCTGGAAACTGTAACAGTTTTGCGAGAGAGTAGAAGGATTAATTCTGTAGGTCATACTCTGCTCCTGTGCAAGTGGAAAGTGCCTTGAAGAAGGCTGAGTTGCTGAGAGTGTTGCCATTTAAAATAATTAAAAGATCACTGATGCAGTTACAATTCTGCATCAAATTAACACCGTAAACTTTCTGTGCTGTTGGGTCAATTAGGATGAAGCAGACCTTCCTGCTAATCATCTTCAGAGAGGTGTTTTTCTTAAGCGGGAAAATTATTTGGTAGTCCTGATTATTCGTGTTATCACTGCCCCTATGGGCTGCAGTGTGAGTGAGCTTTTGAATTCTTCTGTCCCTATCAGCACAAATCCAGGTTTTCTTCTGTTTCATCAAAATGCTCTTGATTTAAATTGTGATTTAAGATGAAAAGGCTGGAAGCCCTTGAAGAGTATTTATTTCATAAGATAAAGCTTATTACCCAGCTGCCATTCTACACAACTGGCATTTTAGTACCTATCACCTGTGCAAATTAAATCATATAGTAGTTGAAAAATAGTGCAGGGAAGGCTGTAGCAGATAACTTGTTCTCAGCAGGCAGTGCTTATGGAGAGAAGGGTTATGAAGTCTCTCAGGCTGGGTGTTATGGGATAGCTCAAGTCGAGCTGGTCAGTTTTACTTGGATGAGTTATCTGAGTGCTTCTCACTGTCTTGCAATATATACTACCAATAATGTGCTACTTATGGATGGGAAACACAAGTTTGCCTTTCCGTAGTTGGAGAAGTAGAGAGGACTCACACCATGGCACTTTGGGAGCTGATGGAAGGGAAGGGACCCCCAAAAAATAAAGCTGCTCCTCTTCCCTGCCGTAGCAGGAATAGATGAGAAGATTGAAATGAGAAATACATGGCTTACGTGGAGGAAAGGTGATCTGGGCCTTCAGTAGGTAGCTTCTTTGGAGTAGTGCCTAGATCAGAGCTGTATTGTGCATGTGTAAAAAGCTGTCAGGTGTCTTTGTGGCCAGTCTTGGCAGTGTAAAGAGTTGAGGAGAACTCCTGGATGTATCAGACTGAAACTTTTAAACAATAAGCATTTAAAAAACAACCAAAGAACAAAACACCAACAAACTAGTAGTCCTATAGGAACTGAAGTAATTGCTTCTGTATTTCGCCTTTGTCATTCTTCAACGCTGCGAAGTGGTACGAAATTGCAGCATTAGCGTTCCTAGTAAAGCTGAATGGAAACTGACTCAGTTTCTAAGGAGGGAAATCTACTGCAGTAATAGTGCTATAATGTAAGCACTTGGAATTACATCTGTGGAGTTCATACCTGAACCCAAACAAGCTGAATCCATTCTGTTCCCTTCAGTGTCCATATTGTAATATTTTTTTTATGTTGATACTGCTCTTATTTTTTATAGGCTTGAGAGAATGCGTGAACAAGTTGAAGTGCTGTTGCAAGAGCTCCCTTGTGGGTGTGACAAAAGAGGTGTGGAATCCTTCCCTGGTGCAGAGCAAAGACCTTAATGGTAGGTGCTTAAAGCCCTTTTTTCCCCGTGCAGCTAGGACTGGTTACATGTGAGGGCCAGGTGCCATGTGGGGGTTTACGTCCGGCTCAAGTTATTGTTGAGCTTTATCACTCATCAGCAATATAACGACCATTTTTATCCCACACGGTGCCTTTGCAAAATAAGGTTTTACTTTCAGGTCAAATTAATCAGATCCAGAAAAAAATGTAGACCTGAACTTGCTAATTACCTAGTGTCAAGCAATGAATACCAGCTCTGAGAAGGGAAATGGGTTGGAATTCTTACTTTGTCTGTTAGTGGGTATGAAGTATATTTCGCTTGAACTGATGACGTCAATATGTGAAAAATTGTTATGCAGAAAGAAAATATGCAGAATATCAGTTATCGTACATAACAAGAACATAATTAACTGCATATGCTTATTAGCAACTTGCAGTAAAATGTTAGCAGAGAGAAAGAAAGTGGAGATTGAAAGAAAGTGAAGAACATGTTCTTTATGGGAAGAAGAATGCCTCTTTAATCTTCATTCTGTTCAGCATCTAGCACTAACCTTTGAGTGTGCCTTTAAAGGCATGTCTGTTAAAGAGTGTCATTGCCTTATACTAGTAATCTTGATTTTTATTTTTATTTTTTCAGTAGACTGCAGTTGATAGTAGCAAGATCATCAAAAGATCTTTGAAATTCTCAGTCATTCTTGTATTTGAATTACTTTAAAACGTAGGTCAAGTAAAAGGGACTCCTTAGGCAGAGGACATGGCAAGTGAGATCTTCTGGGAGAGAGCTGCAATCTGTACTTTTGTACGTGTCACTGTGGGAATGAGTGATCATGAGTTGAAATGAGCCAGGTGCACAAATGATTTGTTGAAATGTTTCTGGCCTTGTGATGGAGGGGGGTGGGTTGAATTCTGCCCATGGCTTAAGACTCACAGAAGCGCTTTCGTAAATGACAGTGAGGAAAAATAAGCTCTAATCTCCATAGTTAGCAGAAAGAGGAGCAAACACGAGGAAGAGTTGGCACATTCTCAGCAAGAATTGGTTTTCTTGTGCCAACTGGGCCAGAGGTGAAGATCCAAAGCGAGGAAGACAAGTAACTTCATCCCCGAAGGCCACCAGTGGGGACCCTCACTGCATGTGACTCATGAGCCAAGGAGAGGGACTTTATGTAAATGAATTCCTGGAAATATAATGAATATGTAGATGGAGTCCAGGAAATCTATTGAATATTTATGAGCTTGGCTTACAAATATGTAATGCTTCTATTTCCTGGTATGCAGGGTAGGCAGAAGGATCCCCCCTTGCACCCTTTGTGTGCATTGCTGAAATAAAGGTACCTGCTCTTATAACTACTTTGTGGTTATGGACTCTGAATCTGTGAGTCTCTTGTTCCACTGTTTTTAGGTGTTACAACAGAGAATGATCACGATTGGGTAATGCTATTGGTTTATTTGCCTGGTGTTCCTAAGCAGAACACAAGCACAGTAAATAACTTCCTGCTGCTGGAATATTTTCAAGTAACAGTGAGTTGTTATCCTATTAGTTTCCTTAGTTTGAAAGGGAATAGTCATTCTTCATGAATTTATGAGCAGATTATTGCTCTTATGCACGTATGTTTCTTTGTCTGCAAGACAGAGTAATCAACAACACAACACACTAATAAACAATATTCCTTACTGAACTTCTCTAAACCTCACTGCATGTGGTGGGCAGGGAAAATAAAAACAAAAACAAAGCAAAATTTATCTAAAGCCTCTAAGTCATCAGATCCTCATGTCTCGAAGAGGAGATGGTGTTACTTAGAAGATCATCTGAGTATCTTTTTAAATAGGTTTTATATCTGCTGATGCTTGTTGGACAGCTTTCTTTGTGTGTAGATTGTAATTGACGTGACCTTGTCTTTTGGGCACAGTTATTTCTTGTAATATTATACCTATGCTGAAGATGTGTATTATCTCTTGTGCAGATACTCAGACTGAAGGCAACATTAATACCTTCATTTTTAGC